TATTAAAGTAAATTAAACTTGTCTATTAATTCAAATTTATCATACTCTGTCGAAAATGAATCAGCAAATTTTCGTTTAAATTCAATAATTGATAAAGTGATGCTAATCAGTAATACATTTTAGGTTATTTAAAGTAGTCAAGAAACCAAATAAGAAAGTATGAATTATGCCAAATACACAATTTGAATATTTAACTTTTTGCTTTGATGTTTTATGTATTTTGCATTTAATTTTGCTATTAATGAGATTGAACATTTTCTATAATTTTGTTAACAAAAAAAAAATTTAGCTCTACTCTACCGTATTCGAATACACAAGCAAGTAATTTAACATCTTTGGAAGTAGCCAATAGTAGCACTGTGGCAAGTGGAATACCAGCGGCAGCATTATCACCGATGGCAACACTCGAGCAGATCGCATCAATGCCAGCAGCATCTTATCAGATGCTACCAGAAGTCAACTTCATGCAAGCTCTCACATTTCCATTTGGCATTAATATCACGTCTAACACTAACACACGTCCTGCTAGCACGTTTGATTTCTCGAATGTAGCAGATGCTAACGTGACAAGAACAGCACATTCTACAGCAACGCCACCAAACAATCCCTCTTTGCCTTCTTACAATGCAATGCAAATAAATTCAACTTCAGAGCAATTCTTCCAGCCACACCAACTGCTCGAACAATACCCTCTCGGCCAGCATATTGCTATCAGTGCTAATCGGACAATCAGTGCTTACCACAGTGATAACCAGGTATGAGTTGTAATCGCAGTCTTATCTTATGTTTTTATCAGTTTTTTTTGTCAGTAAAATTTTATCATCTCACAGAGCTGCAAATAATTGTGTTAACAGTGATTAAATGTGCAAGCAATTCCATCTTAGATAAGTTTATTATTTGCTTTTTATTTTATTTAAATATTTAAAATGTGAACTGTTCAAAATTTGGCTAAAATTAAACTCATAGATAATTGTCAGAAATAAATGATAAAAAAAGAGTTTAAAAAAGACATTGAGATTACAATTTTACTTAACAAAACTTAAAGATATTGCTTTACTTATTTCAGTAATTGCTACTTTTTGCATTCACAAGAATCTAGCATTGTTTGTTTTTCTTCAAATTACTGCTTAAAAAATTACAACTTTTAGGTTAATGAGACAGGAGAGGATTTAAAAAGTCAGCGGGAAGCTAAAATTGAATTATTTAGCGAAGATGAAAACGATTACGGTGATGAGGAAGAAAACATGTACAACTTTCAAGAAGAAGGTAAACTCGCGCATTTGTTACAATTTTTTGTATTTTACAATTCAAAATATGAACCTAAATTTTAAAAAAAACAATTTTTGTTTAGCTAAATTTATCTAAAATTATTGCTGCTGCTTTTTTGATTTAATAAAAAAATTATTTAAAACTTTTATCAAATAACTTGACTATTATTTGTATTAAATCATTCAATTATTAGTTATGCGTGTAATTTTTTGAAACCTTATATTATATCTAAAGATATTACTGCAATTACAGTAGACAAAATAGCGTTAGAATTAGCTTATCGAGAAAATTTTGATGGTAACGGTAATCCAAATGCAGGTACTGATAATGAAGAACACAATGAAGCAGAAGTGAATTTTTGCATTCCAATACTAATTAACAAGTATTTGAGTAAATAATTCAATTTTTTTCCTCATTAAGAGATAACTTTTTTCAAATGTTTTCTAAAAATATAAAAAACTGAGGAATTCGCTTGATTGATTGTAACAAAATGCCATTTTAAACTAATGAGATTGTTTTTGACTAAAAAAAAGTTTAATTCTTGTTATCGATATAAAATAAGGGATACGATAACATCATATTTAAAGACAATATCTTAAGATATTATTGTAAATACAGTAGACTAATTAGCTAGTATTTAAGTGCATGAATTCAAATGAAAATATTTGCTTATTTATTTTTAGAACTATGAAGGCGATGAATGCTTGAATAATTATTCATCGGTAGTATCTACAACTGCACCTGAAACTGTGCCTTGTCATGCAAAAAGTATCAACCTATTTAGTATTCTGAAACAAAAAGATAAATTTCAAAGTTTAAAATTTAGAAAACTTTTTGATTATTATTAACTTTTGTACGAAAAAAATGCAAATTTTCAGAGTACTCAGACAGTGAATCTGCGCAGCAAAATACTACATCGGTACCTACTCAAATGTCCCGATGGGATCAATTGGTGGTTGAACGAGGTAGAAAATTTAATAAGCCAGCACCTCAGTGTATTCACTGGAATAATCCCAAACATCGCCTTGATTTTCCTTGTAGGTTTTGGCATCCGCGAGAACACTGTCGGTAATTTTTTTTAATTTAATATAATTTTTTCATTTTTAATATTTGCATTACACAAGCCAGAACTACTTGGATTCATTTCTTGAAAATAAAATTTAGTTGAAATAATTTTTGCAAATAAAGCAAATTCACCAAACATTTACACCAACAATATCTCTGTTGAAATAACGAAAACTTTGTTTTTTCAATTTTGTTCAAATTTTTATCTTTTTTTAATTTTACTGCTTTAATTATTGTACAAAAAAATCAGTCATTTATTTTACAGATTTTTTGCAAATAAAAAAGATAAATTTGGCAATTAATTAATTAAAATTATTTTTGCAAATAATTTATATTTTGCAAAAAAAAAAAAAATGGTAAAAGTTTAGATATTATCCACATTGTTCAAATACAGCAGATGAATGTGGTTTTGCACATCCATTTTGTGGTCATTTTTGTCGTTGTCCAGTAAATAAAAGAGACCCACAAAAAAACCATCGAGTTCCAGAAGAAAAATACTTAAGTAACTAAATTTCAACCTTGACCTTTCCTTTGTTTACTAAGTGTTTACTAGCAGTTTGTTTGTGTAAAAATTTGGCATGCAAAAATATCTCTGCTCTAAAAGGCGAAACAATTTTTTGGCAATTGACACTTTGAGTAAGAAATTTCTAATTAATGCTTTGACTTCAAAGTGACTGAAATTGGCTAATCTATCGAGTTACATATAAGTCATTCAGTTGTTTCTATGAGTAATTAAGTTCCAATTCTGCGCGAGTTATGTTTATGAATTGTATGCACAACTCGATCAAAAGCGAATGGTTAAGTTTGAAAAGTCACAATTTTTACGTAAAAGATTGAATATTGCAAATTCGATTAAGTAATTCTGAATAATTGGCGTAATAAATAAACAATTTCATTTACAGGTAGTGCTGATCGGACGAAATATTTGTCTTGCAAAATTAATTATCGATCACGTGGTACCAGCAAATAATTTACAATTGAAAATTTAAATCAGTAATTCTAGTTCTGAATTAAAATTCTCTTCAGTAAGACAATGCACGTTGATTACAATAATAAACACTCTTAGATTAAATTTGTTCAGTAATCTAATCAATGGAATTAAAATTACGCATACATTATTAATTTATTCAGAAAGAAGTACAAATAGGTTAAAGGTCAACAACCAAAAAGCATAATCTCGTTCGGCATAACAGTTATTCCTCGTTTAAAAGGACTGATTACTGTGAATCATATGCAGGTTTCCAATGCTTAGTAAATTTTTAGCTTCGAAGTACTTACAACTTCTGTAAGATCAGCTGTATATTTCTAAACTTTTTTAACAAATTCTTCCATTCCTATACCGATCTTTTAAAATTATTTTTTAATTCTTATAATCAGTCCAAAATATTACGATTCAATCAATCTATACATATATTTATTATAATAATTATACAAACGTATTCAAGGAGTGACAGATTCTTTGGATTTTGTTTTAATTTATTTTTCTCGAATTAGTCATTCTTGGCAAATATTATATCACTCTGTGCGAAGATTATTGCTTATGTGAAGGTGATGAATTCATGACTTTTCATATTTATCAAATGAAATAATTTCGAAAAGTTTTATCATGCTAAATTTTAGGGCAACTCGTATTCATCTGACGACATTATTGATGAATGATTCAAATTAAATGATTATCTGAAATATAACCCAAATTCAGACATTATCACTTTGACTTCTTATTGAGAGATGAAATTCATATCTGAAGCAAATTCTATATGTAAATGACTGAAGTAATGCATCAATTTCTATCAAATACATAAAAGACAAATTTATTTACAACAAAATTCATGCAAGCAATAAATCATTATGATTCATGCTTTTAGTTAGTCGAAATTCAGTTGAGTCTAGTTTGGTCTAAGTTAGATCCATTTCTAACATTTTACAAATAAATTCATTATCTTACAGATAGCAATAACGCAACTCTATTTAAAATAACTCACAACTTTTTTTAAAATTAATATGATAATAATTTATATTCAATAAGGAATATAATAATTTCAGCAAATCTGTGATGATTGTGTACAGTTATTTTTTTTTACATCTCTTTAACTTAATTCTTTCACTTCATTTTTCTGGTTTACTAATTACTCATTCTTACGTGAATACCCTTTTTATTCGTTCATTATAATGGCTCACCACTAGTGCCTTATGTTTTATGCAAAGTGTCGAATAGATACTTTCCATCTTTATATTTAATTTATACTTTATTTAACAGTTTGTGACCTTTCAACTATTTTAAAACAAGGTAAACTTCATACTTGCGTTGTGATTTTGTTTCATTTTTCATGAGCTCTTTTTTGTATAGCATACGTTTTTTTACTGTGGCAGTATGGCTCTTATGCTAATATAACTTATCCCTTCTTAATAAATTATTTGAAAAAAAGTAAACATTACAAGTGGATCGCACTATTTGTTCTAAATGAATATTTTTAACGTTACAAATTGTACTAGTCAATAATTAAGTTGAACTAACTAATAATTGAAATAAATGAATTTTACACCCATCCGAAAAAAACTGACTCACCAGTCACGTGTGAAATTTCTCCAACATCTTCCAGTAGCAAAATATCCGATACGTCCTTGGATTTATCTTTAATTAATCACAACCATAAGATCTACTCATCCCAAAAAAAAATTACCCAAATCAAAGTCATTAGAGTAGATGTGAGTTTCATCGTGGTTTCATTCCGTGCTTCACAAAATAAAGCATCTATTTAACTTAAAGTTATGTATACATTACAAGGAGGGAAATAACAATGGTAAATTCTTTTTATTCCGTCTAAACTGAGAAACAAATATGCATGCACGCTAACGGTAATTACGAGAATAAAATCAAATTCAATATAACTGTGACTGAATAAATAATATATCTAGCAAACCATCCCAGCAAAAAAATACTCGTGCGATTTTAACTGACCTCGCAATTACACTGTACACAAAATTTTTACTAGTTTTTAATTTAACACCTGAAATCCTATGCGACGCATCAAATAATTATCTTCAACTGAAATTTCAACTCACACAGGACATTTACAAAAATTACGAGATTCGAACATAAATATTCCTACTAAATTTAAAAAAAAATTTCAATTATTGCAAGGCAGTCTTTTTTGATTACCTTAGAAAAAAATTCCATTAAATCAGAATTTGTTCATTTCCAAAGCAAAAAAAAACAAAAACATGAAAGTGACTTGGAGTAATAACTACAAATGTTTTTTTCCTATTTCAGTTAATGATAAATCTTCAACAGAGTTCTCTACATCAACATTTTCTCCGGTTTTTCCATGTATTCCTTGAAATGTTTCAGCCAAACCGCACCAACAGCCCCGTCCACTACACGATGGTCGCATGACATTGTTACAAACATTGTTGTTACGGCCTTGAAACTAAAATCTGATCTTAGTTGAAACTTAATTCAAAGCGATAATAAGTATCCTTTCATTGGATGAACAGCAGCAGATGCGAATTTTAATAAGATGTATTTCATTTAAATAAAAAATTTTTTGCATAAAATTTTTGAAAAAATCAAAAAACTTTCAAAAAAATTGTTTACCCATTTTCATTATCTGGTACAAGTTTACGTTCTGACCCACCAACCGCAAGAATACACGATTGTGGTGGATTAATTATTGCGGAAAAGTGATGTATGCTTCCAAACATACCCAAATTTGATACAGTAAACGTACCACCCTAAAAATTTATTTACTATAGTGGTTTAGATTCCGAAATATTTGTAAATGTTACTGAAAATTAGAACTCTGAGTAAAGACAAATAAGTAATTACTAAAGCCAGAGCACAAAATACAAAAATTAGTCCTTAATCAACATAAAACTGAAAAATTAATAAAAAGTACCATATATTCCTTTGGCATCAACTTATTACTGTTCGCTTTTTGTACCAGCTGCTTAATTTCTGCGCTGATTTGAGTTAAACCCTAAATGGCAATAAAGATTAATTCAGAATTTGAAATCTTCATTAACAATTACATTTAAGGAAAATATGAGACATAGATCAATTATTTGAAGCACAAACGACAATAATTGAATACCTAGTCAGAAAAATTCTTCATGAATTTACTTCGAACTTTAATGAATTCAAAAAAACAAAAAATACAAACTTTTGCATCGGCATCGTAAACAATCGGAGTAATAAGTCCTGTTTGCGTTTTTACAGCAACAGAAATATCAACAGTTAAATGTTGACGAATAACTTTTTCTTTTTCTAAGAAGAAACTGTTAACTTCAGGTACATCTAAGCAAGCTAATGCACAAGCTTTCACGATGAAATCATTTACAGACACTTTGATACCCTGAATTTTCAAATCTTCATTCAATTTCGCTCGTATCCTGTGCAGAAATTTTATATTCCATTTATGAAATAAATCAAGAGAAATTACAAGATGCAAGAAATAACAAATAAATGACGAAAATTCAGTTTCTTTTTAATTCAAAATTTCCAGTCACATAATATTTAAGCGATCAAATCATGTAGTTTTTTGAACTTTTCTAATAAGCTTACTATAAAATCTTAGCTTTCACGTGTATTAAAGGATCAGTTTTAAATTGATAGCGTTAATTAGGTACCGTAAATTCAAAACACATTTTAAAAGAAGCAGAAATATGAAAAACATAAAACTAACTCACTTTATTAGTTCATCCATTTTGATTTCCGAAGTCAAATAATAATGTGGCACATTCTGTTTGCTAAATAATAAACGTTTCGCGATAGTTTCTCTCATATTCGACAATGGTATATCCTTGTATTTGAGATTTTCAGGAAGAGCTTGCTTACGTACTGTTCCAGGTTTTTTTGGTGTCGCATTATCTTTTACTTTTTTATCATTACTGGCAGCAGAAGCTTTATTCTGTCTAGCTTCTTCTACATCAACTGCTAAGATACGTCCATCTGGACCAGAACCTCTAATTTCCTGAAGTAAATAACATCGTTATATATTTTAAGAAGTGGAAAATGTGACTACTAAACCCTCATTAAGAAAAACCATAAAAGACAGAATATTACTGCATACTGACTAAAATATGCAGTTGCTTCATGTTCCGAGCAGATGATAAAAGAGGCACTTCTAGCATTTTAAGAGAATAGTCATGATTAATTAACACTTTTTAAAAGATGATATAAATGTGATCTGTTTTCTAGTGACCACCTCAAGCAAAGTATGTAAAGAAAAAAAACGGCTTATTTATTCTGCTGCTCATAAGTCAAAATAAATCTATACAACAGCTATTATTTACTATTATTTCCAGTTACATAAAGAGACATGTAAATTTTGAATAACTAAAGAATGGAAATTGTTAAGCGACATACCGATAAGTTGATACCTAAGTCAGTAGCTAATTTTCGGGCATAAGGTGTAGCAAGCATGCGTGCAGCATTCAATTTTTCTGCCTGGGACTTAGCATCAATTGATGACGAAACTGAATTGTCCAGAACTGATCTAGAGTTTGGACCAGTTTGAGCTGAAGCTTGAGATACAGAAGATTTGGATGCAGATGTGGTTGAAGGAATTTCAGTATGCGTAGAAACAGAATTATTATTAACAGTAGTAGCAGCACTAGTGGTAGGAACGGAAGTGGGATGATGAGTAGAAGTTGTAATTTTAGCAAGAATAGGCTCGGCAAATGCAGAAATATCTTCCTTTTTCTTACATATTACACAAAGAGGCTAAAAAACAGGAAAAATTTTATGAATTTATTTTTTATAGTTAATTAATGTCTTAATATCGTTTAATTTTGCCATACATACAAATATCGTAAAATGATGTAAAACAGAAGCATCCATCACCTATATTTAATTGGATAAGATACTGCGGTTGTTTGTTAACTGACTGATTATACTATACAAATGAGGTGCAGTAAACTAAAGAAGTTTTAGATGTTTTTCAGGCAAAAATTACTTACCTCCCCTATTGAGACAGCACCACTTCCTCCTGGTAGAATTATTTTAGCAAGAAAGCCTTCCTCTGTTGTCTCAAAGGCCATAACTGAATCGTCAGTCTGGATATCGCACAACAAATCGCCTTTTATTACTTCATCTCCAACTTGCTTACGCCAACTAACAACTTTACCCTTTGACATGGTTGATGATAAAGATGGTAATCCGACTTTAACATATTCTGGAGCATTTTCCTGTGCTGTTGTTGACTGCTGTTTCTTTGCTGTAGCTGTAGCATGTGCATCGTCAACTTGTGCTCCTAAAACTTACTCTAAATCTCGCCAGAATTACAGAAACAATTTAAATTACTCATATCTCAAAAGTTATGCAAGTAATAGAAAATAATACCCGACTCATCTAGCTAAACTTTTCTCTTTCTGAAAAAAGAAGAAACTTTTCACAAATTCACGTTCAGTGTTCAGAAAAATGTTAATCACCGAAATCAGACATAAGCCGAAAGCAATGTACAAAATACTCAATGCTACTGCAAAAGAAAATTATCCGCAAAACAAAGCTAAAATCCAGAAATCCTTACTTTGCACGAAAGCTGCACTACTACTAAAAATACTTTTCACGTTTCTAGAAGTAATAACAAATTATCACCAGAACTAACTACTACTCCACCTACACAATACTAATTGTTGTTCTATTACTGCTTGGTGTGCAATACCAAGCAACCATCTACTTCAATTAGATCTGCTTCTTGATTGATCACAAGTCTCAAAGCAAGTCTCGAATTTGAAATTAACATTTAAGACTTGCTATTTCTATCCTTATGGATTCTTCTCTAAACTGCCGTAATACTTACCGTCGTCTCCACCATAAACAAGATTGACACTCATTCTTTAAAGATCATCATCTAAAGTTGTTGCTCATCTCAGTACCATATAACTTTGCTTATTAATTCAGTCGCACAAACTAGACATACAAAAAATTTAATATGAACCATCACTTTAAATGCAGTCAATATCAGATCAATTTAATTGATACCAATCTAACCTACTGACATGGCCATTACACAAATCTTAATAGAAAATATACTATTTCAACCAAATTCCTTTTGTCTCATTCATCCTATAGGTTATAAATTCATAGCCATCCCAAAATTCTAAAAAAGGCGAAGATTCACGCAAAGAATACGTAAATCTTCCCCCTCACTGGATTTTTCCCTTAAAATATCTTCTTAACTACAACACTTCTAAACCAAAACATTCAACTACATCATCCTTGTTGATAACCAATGTTGTATTTCACTTTTACCAAATAATCATTTGTTCGAAGAAGCAAGAAAAGTATTCGCTACTCAGCATCTCTCATTATCACAGAATACTTGGTATATTCGCATATTTTAAAACAATAGAGTAAATAATGATAAAACTAATGACAAGGAAAAGAGTATGCAAGTAAGAAGTTAAGATCAATTTATACATAATATCTAATAATGAAGATCACACATTCTTTGATTAATTTTCGATCCATCAGAAGTCCACGTAATCATTAATAACCAATCCTCACAGGGTTCTATACTAATATTATGGAAGTAAACATGTTCAATGCAAATTAATTGTAATGCAAATTCACAAAATATTGTTCCGTCATTGCAACAAAGGTCGTTTGAATTTCCATGATTATTTAGCACGGTGTAAACAAATCAATAACTTAATGACGAATTCAAATATTTCCTAGAATGAACCCGAAGATACTTCTATTATGGGCACAACCCATCTACATTTTAAATCATACAAAAATCACCCGCCTAAGCTCATTCTTAATCCCGACTGTTCTCGTCAAAATAATTGATCCACAATGATTGACCACTTCTTAACTTTCATTTTCTAGTTATTATTTTCATAATTTTAAGATAGCAACAAAAACCTGAACGAAATTTCCATTCTCGGCAACAAAAATTTTATTGGTCACACTTAGAAAGAAACCACTGCCACTTGCTATTATTAAAACTTCTTACAAAGAAAACAGATGATCACCCCAGACCAATTTCCTAGAAGAAACTTCTGAGCAACTAGACAACAAACTTAGATTACTGTCCTAAAAAGAAAATCTCAATATCAAAACACGTCTAATTTAAAGAAATTAGAAGTAAAAGTTCGGGTTCATCCACTGTTGAAAACAACACAAACTATCGCAGCAAAAGAAGAATTAAACTCAAAAAATTATCAACACTTGATTAAAATAGTTATCAGTAAATTAAAACTGGTCTGATAAGATCACCAAGACATAGCAGAACAGAAGGTTTCTTAGTGTAATCTGCATTCCTTAACTGTTTCATTGGCCTGCAAAATTTTCACCGTTGTTGGCCAAGAAAAATGGAAATCTTCGAACAGATTTTTGTTGAATCTTAGCGGAAATTGCCAACGAGCAATTATATGTAGTGACGTTAAAATAATTGGGTTTAACTTTCCTAGAACCATGACGATTACCTTGTTGAAGTCTGCTGGATAAAAAATGGCTACCATTCCCTCATGGTATTAAAGAACGAATCTCAGCTTCACTGCTTATTTTAATCAAATTATTCCGTCATAATTTCATATACTTAAACACTGAGCTCATTATAAAAGCAATGAAGAAATATGAGCACAATAACAATTCTCTATATTTCTTATAGTAAACTAATTTTATTGGACTTGAAGAATTTCAAGAATATGGATAATTTGGAAAAACTAAGTAAAAGAGAAATTTTATCTTAATGTTGAAATGAATTTTATGAATAAAGAGGTGCAAACCATCTCTTAATAGCCCACAGGGACTAGAATGCAGCATTATAAATTGAAAATTTGTATCTTTTTAGAAATTAATTAAAACTTCAATAAATTTTAAAAATAAAGTTTGAAAATTCTTAAGTCAAAGTTTTATTATTTTCTAATTATCTAGATATTTTGTTAATAGTTGCTTTATTTTTTAAAACTACCTTTCTTTGCTGAAATATGATAACATTTTAACGTCTTTGAATTGCTATAAGCGATTTTCGACAAACCAAAATTAATTAAGAAAAACGGGTTCATATGAATTTGTTAAGTTTCGTTTACTGTCTCTAAATTATTCTACTTTAGTGGAAATAGTTATGTGAAGATTTTTTCTGCGCCCGAAAAAGTACATAAAAGAATGTGGAAAATTTTCTAAATTAAAACTGCTGTTCGATGAAATTGAGGGACTAGCGTTCCATTCCGCATTATGAGCACATGAGTATATACCAAATTAAAGCGCATAAAAATCGAATATTTCAAATTTTCGCGATTCCCATTAGCTTAGTTTCCATACAAATAATATGTAAATTACTTGATAAACCTAGCAACTTGAAATATAAATTAGCAAAGTCATGTTTATTTTTTAATAAAAAAATTATTTAACAAAGATTAAAAATGCTTGCCTTCTACTTTGAAGTTCGAAAAAGCATCACAATCTTCTTTGTTCTCAACAAAGACACAGATTGGCTGAAAAGATTTAATTACTTGCCAAAAGCCGTAAGGTAAGAATTGCTTCAAAGACGAAAAACATGAGTAAAATTGGTGACTAGAGTAATAAAACGCTTACTTTCCCAATTTGTATGCCTTTGGTACCATCAGGAGTCAATATTTTCGCCAAGTAACCTTCATCAGAAGCTTCAAATGCCATTACTGATTTGTCAGTTTCAATTTCACAAACCAGATCGCCTTCTGAAACTTCATCTCCTTCGGCTTTATGCCACTTGACGATAGTACCATGTTCCATTGTTGGAGAGAGAGCTGGCATTGGAATTAACTTGTGCTCAGGCAGGCCTAAAACTGGAGTTGTCTATGTGATTAAAAAATCTAACAAAAAATTAAATTAGCAACAAAGTCATGAGAGAAATTAACAAGTCTCTGCATTTTTATTCTCCCTAGCCCTTCATATCACTATTATATAATCCTAAAATTAAATCAACATCTTACCGCTCGAATACATTCGATACAATTCTTTTCGGCTACCATTTAGTAGATGAAGACGACTTATATAATGGCTAGATATGCCAAATAATGAAGTAAGTCGTGACGAAGATATTCCACGTCTGAAATATACTGCTTTGACTATTAACTACTAAAATCCCGTTACAAATTGGATCCAAAAATACCACAAGTACTACTAAAAACAAACAATAGCACGCCGAACACTAAAAAAATGATAAATTATTCATGCGATTATCGAGGATTTAACATAAAGCATACGTAGATGCAGCAGAAACAGCGGTACGTCGTAGTGTTGCAAACTGCAAACTACTGCGAATGTAGCGCAGCGGTAGAGCGAAGTTGCGAATCGAAAGTTTGGACATCATTCTTTTTTTGTTTACGAGAGATGAAATGCAACAAAGTTACCGGAAATAGATCTCTATAACTATTACTTGCAAAAATAATTACGATAAAAAAGAAAATCACGTTCATAAAGGAAAGTTTTAAAACAAACTCTAAAAACATAACATTGAAAAATACGAATAAAATACCAAAAGTGTAAAATGATAACAAAAATTGATAGATGAAATAACTAAAAATTATATTTAAAAAATAAATACTGAGACCAAATAAGATAATTTTAGACTGAAAAAAATGAACTTAAGAAAGTTACTTATGCCTATCAATTATCCAATTAAGTTTAGATGAAATTATGAAGTCTTTTGAAAAACTTGAAATGCGTGGAGTACAACAACACCACAATAATACCAAGACAATAAATACACTATTTCTTGAAGAATTACGCAAGAATAAATTATAAAACAAAGCATTTTGAGGCGAAACTCTCCACTTCCATTAACCTTTCATTATAAATCACTTTGACCACTGAAAAGTGACCAAAGCCCCTCAATGAACGCAACGGATATCATTTTTAGGCCAAAAATGAATAGCTTTGTGCTGCAACTCGCATGTGCACTCACTCTCTCTTTCGGGCCCTCTTCCTTTCCCCTGATCTTTTTTCTTTCCTACTTCTAACAGTTACCTTCGTTTACTTTTTCGTTTGCCGACTCTCTCCTACTCTGTGCTCTCTATTAATCAATTCTTGTTACGTTGAAAGCTACACCCTTATTATAATGTGAAGTCACGCACGTACGAATTTCTGGATGTTTTTATGAACATAATATAACTATACAGCAAATGACATATGTAACTAAACAGACTAGCGTACTCAACTCTCCGGCTCGTAAGTTGACGGTTAACCAATGATGAACATAAATTTACGAACATAAGTAATCAAACATGACACAACAAAAATGAGGACATTTGACGTAAGCCATTTATTGAAATGATTTACGCCTCTAATTAGTAGACGAGAACAGTTTCACGAAAATTTAGTACAGGAGATTAGTATGAGAAAATAATATGAGAATATAACGAATTTCATGTCGTCTTTACGTACGTATACAACGTTTAAGTTTCGACGCAAAAATTGAACACAATGATATAAATTAATGTTTGCTAGAATATACATTACAAATAGATAATTTCCATCAATAAATTATCAAATTCCGAAAATTATGGATGAAGTAACTTATTATTAAGGCTATTTGCAACAGTAGAAAACAATTTCGAAAAAAATTATGACTTTTCAGATTCGAAAGCAAATTCGACATGCGAATTTATTCATTCGCACTATTATTTGCGAATCGTTTATTATTTTGAAAATGTATAGAGAACCTCAAATTAATTTATTTAATTTTATTTCTTTTAACATAAACAAATAATCAAAATTAATCGAAACGAAATTTATAATTCTTGATTTCATATTAATATATTCAAAACTATGCAAAAAATCAAAAATCGATTTCCAATAATAGTTGAGAAGATTGATTAGTTCAGAATCTTTTCTTCCCCCTTATACTTGACTACAATGCAAGCAGTTAAATATTTTGAAAATATGCTGACATAAAATTTAAACTAGTTTGTGTGTGCGTGTGTGTGTGTATGTGTGTGTGTATATGTGTGTAATAATCTCTCAAAGTGTAGACGTAGCGTAATCTAAACAACTTTATTTCTATGATAACAATAAAAAGTACTCTATAAATACTCAAAAAAACTCGAAAATTTTAACGAGAATTTATACGGAAGTTATAAAAATTACGTCAGTTTCACCAACGGAATTTCAGTTAACTTGCGTAAGACAGCTAAATTAGAAGGAATGATTTTTTCTTGCAAATTTGTATATATTCTCCTCGTTCATTCATTTATGTTTGACTCATCAAAATGACAACATTATAGCAGATAAGAGTGACTGCGGAAATGACGTGTACTGATCGAATTTTATAAGCAAGTCAGTGCTCAGCACAAAAAATGCTTCACTTTGCGGAACTAATGCAAACCGCTTAATTGTGCCTTGTATATACGTGTGTGAGTGAGTGTGTGTGTGTGTGTATGCGTGTGTGCATGTCTGTGTGCGTGTATGCATGTACGTGTGTATGTGTACTCGTTCTTTCAACTCCTACAACTCATGAAAGAACGAAAACACTTAAACTCGCGAATTTTTGCACAGATTTCTTTTCAGACATTGCTCAGCAAACGCAAAAAGCCAACAACAACTCTCCTCAGCGAAAAATTAAAAACTCAGAGATTAATCAGCTAGGTAAATTCTATTATTACTTTTGCATAACAATTAGATTTGCTAATTAATAGTAATAATAATTAATTAATTAACTAAATAATAATAAAATTAATCAGTTAATTAATTCTAATAAGAACATTAATTCACTAGCTAATATATCTGAAACAAATGACTTGCAATAGTAAAGAAATTCAGAAAATAATAAATAAATAAATTAATTAATGAACTTGCAAGACAGAATGACAATATTGTATCTGAAAAATCGTACCACTGATACAGATGTCAGTATCACTTTAGTTAGCGTTATTATCATTACTATCATTATCACTATAAATATTAATATTAAAAATTAATACGATGCAACCACTAAACCAAAATAATTGCCAAAAATAATTTTTCACTTACAAACTGTCCCCAAAAATATCGTTTATTTGAGAGGAAACGATTGCATTTATGCACGAAAAATGATTACAATTTTCACAGCAAAAGACTTAAGATTAACGGAAAAAGCAGCAGTTCTGCGCCATTTCTTACGTGCTGAATGTGATCTAATGACCTCTGACTCAGCAAATGGAACGATAACCTCTGGCCAAAGGCTTAACTGAGATGAGTGACCACAGTGTCAACCAAAATGAACAATGAGCCTATCTGTAGCCTATCTTTTACTCATTCTCACATTTGAAAAAGAGAGAGAAAAAGTGCACAGAGAAATATCCTGCGGTTTGTGCTCTTTGAAAGTGCTTCAATTATATAAACACCAAAAGTACAAGATGTCTCGGAGATTTCTGGGAGATTAGAGACTCAAAGTGATAACGCTGATTGAGAGGCTTGACAACAGAAGAGAGCAAGAGGAGGCAAGAACAACTGATATTAGTCGATATGATTAGATACATGCATGTACTGAGAGACTGATAACGAGGGAGACATCTCGAATTATTGATTGACTGTGGAAAGAATGAGAATGACCTTTTTGTAAGACAGTTGCAGCTATATAATGACCTTTCGGCAGTATATCTGGTAGATAATAAATCAAGATCTTCTGACGATAATAATTACCATTAATATTATTGCGTTCCCATGTAGTGTCAAATCATGCATTATTGATCAGTTAGTGTGAACTCTGCTAAAAATAATCACTGCAAGAAGTCATTACAGAAGTAGAAAATCCTCAGAGATGGATGACTAATAAAACCAAATTTTAAAAGGTAAAACTGTTTTCGAATAAATTAATCAACTAGCCTTCGATCTATGTATAAGTCATGAAAACGATAACTTCTTAAAACTTTGTTTTGTAAGAAAATTACTGTGCCACTTCACGTATTAAACAGTTTACGTACAAAGAATGAACAGTTCACGTACAAGTGCACGCTAATTTTTTTATAAATAATTTTTCATTAAATGCAAATACACACTTTAATTACTCTGAAATTAAGTTTCACGAATTATAAAATAATTTCCTCAAAAATTTTGAGGTTATTAATTCATCATTATTTTGCTGAAATCAATACGCTATGCAAAATTTTTTTGAATAACTTCAGATTGGCGCCCTTCGCATTTTTTCCGGCCATCAATTGTCGTAAATGCACTTGCTTCTCATCATTACTTCTTTCTATCACTTTCTATTTAATTTTTTAAATTTCATTGTGAATAGAAGGTTTCCCGGTTATTTTTGGCGGTAAAATAATGAGAGTCTGCTATTTATGGCAGCAAATTGAAGCTCTTTCTTGTTCTGGCGGAAAAGCACTTCATGTTTACATTTTTGGCGATAAAAAGGCTTAATTGTTTTTAAAAGTAAAGTATAGTATAGTAATACGATTTATATTTTTAGCGCCAAAATTATGCTTGATTTTCTTATTAAGAGTATTTGTCTCTCTATCTTCATCGTCTTTATTTTTTAATATATTTCTTACCGATCAAAGATATTATTAATTTTTCGATCAATATGCTAATTACAAAAGAAGCGTCACAATATTTAATTATGAAAATTTCATTCTGAATAGATAGGATTTGTTTTGATAGAATAAGTCGATTGCTGACGACAGTATTGATAGATAGTAGGCAGAGTAAACTGTTGTTATTTGCATTAAGTTGTGTTGTAAGAATATTGAAGCTAGTCAGATATCTTTTTGAAATTTGAGATGAATGAGATTAATCGAGCGGTTGGCTGTCAAGATTCATCCACCTAACTCTCTGCTACTGAACTTGGAACTGATTTCAAACAATCAATACTTCAGGTGATTTATTTCCCCTGAATCTTGACTCTGTTGATATGATATGATGTGATATGATATGGATGGAAAATACATTCCAAAAAACGCATGCATTGAAGTGGAAGAGGTAATTACTTCAACACTTCACTTCAGTCCAAGTCCAAGCTGTTAAAAATTTAACAAAATATTTATATTATCTTAAAGCATTTTGCTACTGACTTTAAGAACTAGAAATATACGTGAGTGTATTTCTTTTTAAAATTGAAATGACTGCCGTAAAAATGCCATATGAACAAAAAGTATTCAGAGATTAGCAGTCCATACTGAAATTGATGGTGAATCCGATACTGAAGTTGCTAAAATGGTGAATCCGATACTGAAGTTGCTAAAATGGTGAATCGGATACTGAAGTTGCTAAATGGTGAATATCCGATACTGAAGTTGCTAAAATGGTGAATCCGATACTGAAGTTGCTAAAATGGTGAATCCGATGTTTCAAGTGAATATTAAACTTTTGCAATAATGCTTTGAAGTG